TAGAGCTGAACCTTCTGGTAATGTCAAATACATACATACATACATATATAAACTTACATTCTTCTCTTATTCTTCTTCTTCATAATTTATTGAGTTTGGGGTTTTTGTGTGCAGAGAATGCAATAGAATTTGAATATAAGGCAGGGAGCAAGAAAGGGCCAGAGCGCTGGGGAGAGCTTAAAAAAGAATGGAATACATGCAAGGATGGCAAATCACAATCACCAATAGATTTAAGGGATGGGATTGCCACCAAAGTAAACTCAAGTTTAGAGCATTTTAAAGTCAGTTATAAGCCTGCCGAAGCCAAGATCGAGAACGAAGGTCCTGTAATTGCGGTAAGAAAGTGAAAAACTCTGCTTTAACTTGTTTATGTACAAATTAAGACATGAATATTTACTGCTTGTGTTGTAATTTGATGCAGATTGTGTGGGAAGGTGATGCTGGATCAATTAGTATCAATGGCACAGATTACATCCTCAGACAATGCCATTGGCACTCACCCTCTGAGCATTCCATTAATGGCAAAAGGTATGATTTGGAATTGCACATGGTTCACAGAGCCCAGAACAACAATGTGGCTGTGGTTGGATTCCTCTACAAAATTGGTGAACCCAATCCATTTCTCTCTGAGGTAAAATTCTTCAAAATTTATGTGCTAAAAACTCATTTCAGTTAAATTAGAGAAGAGGAATATAGGAGATCAATGGTGTTGTTCCAACTTTCAGGTGACAAAGGAGATAGCATCTATGACTGATGTAGAGAAGGATGTACAACTGGGAGTGATTGATCCGAGGAAGATGAAGGAGGCTCAAACGGGGTTACTTGTTTCAAAATTTTACAGATACATGGGCTCATTCACAAACCCTCCTTGCACTGAAGGAGTTACGTGGACCATAAACGAACAGGTACAACCAACTTCATCAGCCCTGAAAATTTTTCCTGCTCCTGTAATTTCACATTTCAGTAGCCAAAAATGAGAAGCTAATTATAAACTGTCCTCAGGTACTTTCTGTTTCAAAATCACAAGTGACGCTTCTTCAACAAGTCGTTTTCGATGTAAGTAAAACCTGTCTTTGTGAAGTGATTCTTGTGCAACAGATTCTTTGAAATGATAAAGTCCACCAAAAAGCATATCAAAATATCCATTTTTGAGTATTAATAACTTTTTCTGTTGATTACCTTGAGTTCAGTATGCAATGATGAATGCAAGACCACTACAACCTCTTAATGGCCGGGATATCAAGCTCCATGGCTCATCGTTCTCCCAGTGAGACATGTGCAACTAACCACATCGGCCTCCATTGGTGGCTGCATACTAAGAAAGTCTTTAGATTACCTCCAAGCTACTAAAGCAAGGACAATGGAAGTCCTGAACTGATGTAGGACAAATCATGTGTTTATTCCTAGGAAGGAAATTTGAAAAAGAGGGAAATTTCAAAATCAGAAAATTGGGCTTCAAAATATGGAAAATCATGCTTGAGCATCAATTATCCGCTAGGAGAAGAAGGAATGCGTATTGCTGGGATTTTCGGGTTGCTTGATTTCTTGAGAAGATCTATATTATATTTATATTTCTAGATAAGTTATCAATCAAGATATTATTTTCCTGATATGATTTAAATTATTTTCTTATTAATTAAGTTTTAGGAATATTCTGTAACCTAGTGTTTCTTTGTTTTCTATTTAAGATGACTCATGGTATTTGTATTAATCAGTTTTATCATATTATTAATCAAAATTTAAAGATTTCTCCATTTTTCTGGTGGATTCCAATTGCTGATGGATTTTAGTTTATCTTTTCGGGTTTAGGTGTTTGTCCATCCGTCTTCCGTGCTGCGTCATGATCACAAAGTATTTACAACTCCAGGTCTCTTTCATTGCCAAGTCCGAAGCTAGTTTTTAGTCAAAAACAGAATTAGAATGAATGTGTAACATTTTATGAAATTTTCCATCAACATTGAATTGTTGAAAATGGATTGAAATCATTTTATCTTTCTAAATGCTATCCTCTGGCACTGCAAAGCACAATGTACCAACTTATAAAAATAAAATGAGAAGAAAATTCAAAATGAACCTAGGAAAGAATTGAGGTAAATCTTTCCGCTACCAAACAGAGATAAAGACTTACCAAAAAATAAAGGGCAAGATTGGGACATATCCACATTTATTAACAGATACCTTAGTTAGCAGAGACTAATGATTCTTTCTAGTTTCCACCAAGAGAGAGTCCAACTCGTTAAGAGGTTTTCTCAAAATGCAAGTGTATTAGACGAGGATACAAATACAGCGAGACACCGAGAAGCTAACATGTTTAATACGTGGATTAATAACACCACGTGACGGTGTTAGGTCACATAAACTTCTCCATCGTAGGAAGTGAAAGTACTTTCGCATGCAAATCAAAGATGCATGCATGTCCTAGCTGTTGAGCGTCATCAAATTTCGAAATCATTCAAACCCCATTTTAGTATGCAATAAAAGTGATTAGTATTACAAAGATATTACTAGAGGGATGATGTATGATTTTTTTTTTTTTTTCCACATCTAGATCCAGTAAATTGTATATAGGCATAGGCTCATAGTGCATCATTCTATCATTCTTCATTGTAGCAATTTCAAACAAAGAACAGAGGCTCCTCTGCCTTAACATTTGTATGATTTTAGTGGCTGTTGTCTGTGAATGATGTTTGAATCAAAGCAAGCCCATCTTCAGTTCCTTGTATTTTTGTTTCTTCTCTACTGGCACCAAATACCAATTGGAGCCCAAGTTGTCGGTAATGCCAAATATATTTACTTCTTGCACTCATCTCATTTACCAGCTTCATCATGATCACAGCCATTGGGTTTTTGGTGCAGGTCAAGAAATAGAGTTTGATTATAGGAATGGGAATGAGAAGGGACCAGAACACTGGGGAGAGCTTAAGAAAGAATGGGCAGCATGCAAGTATGGAAAATTGCAATCGCCAATAGATTTATCGGATGGCCGTGCCACCAACGTGATCCCAAGTTTAGAGGATCTTCAAATGAGTTACAAGCCCTGCAATGCAACCATGAAAATATAGCGGTGGGAAAATTAAAAATCTCATTGAGTTAATTTATTGTTTTTTTTCAAATGTGTAGCATTCAAGGTCTTATGAATTTTTACTACATATGCTGTATGGAAATGTCTAATTTGTCACCAAAAAAAAAAACATATTTTAAGAGACATTCATAGTGATGCAATTTTCATTTCTTCGTATTATATTCAATTGATGCAGATGGAGTGGGAGGGTGATGCTGGATCAGTCAAAATCAATGGCACAGATTACTTCCTCAAGCAATGCCATTGGCACACCCCCTCTGAGCATTCCATTAATGGCATAAGGTCTCTCTCTTTCTCTATCTCAGCTCCTCTGTCTTAAAAATCCAAATTGTTTGATCAATGTCTAAAGAGTTACTTATTAGGTATGATTTGGAGCTGCACATGCTTCACCGAAGTCCGGACCCGAACATTAAAGCTGTAGTTGCACTTCTATTCAAAATTGGCAGCCCCAATCCCCCTCTCTCAAAGGTAAAAAGACTCAAAACATATATGTAAAACAAATTACAGGAGCTCAAAGGTGTTACTTTTTCAACTATATATATATTCCAATTTTCAGGTGCACAACGGCTTATAGTCTATGATGGGTACAAAGGAGACACAACTGGGACTGACTGATCCGAGTGAGATAAAATGGAGCAGCTTAAAATTTTACAGATACATTGGCTCACTCACAACCCCTCCTTGCACTGAAGACCGTAAACGAAATGGTAAAACCTCTTCATCTGCCATGAACATTTCTTGAACTGTTGTAAATTCACATTTTGATAATTTGCCCTCAGGTAAATACTGTTTCGAAAGAACAACTGGAGTTACTTAAACAAGCTGTTTATGATGTAAGTAACCTTGTCTTTGTCATGTGATTCCTCTGTTAGAACTAACTACATCAATTTTGAGCACCTATCTAACTTGTGTTCAGTAACCTGAATGCAGTATGCAAAGATGAACGCAAGACCATCACAGCCTCTCAACGACTGAGACATCATGCTCTACAGCCCGTTGTTAAGACAGCCAGTGTTGCAAAACTAGCAGCATCCATGCTAAAAGGCCTCAAGATTAACACAATTGTACAAAAAGAAACTGTAGGAGATGAATGGTGTTATTCCAACTATTACAATTTTCAGGTGAACAAAGATATGATGTCTGAGGTTGCTACAAAGGAGGTACACTTAGGAGCGATTGATCCAAGGGAAATAAAATGAACTAGCTTCAGTTTTTACAGATACATTGGATAACTCACATCCCGTCCTTGCACTGAAGGAGTTATTTGGACCATAAACGAAAGGGTACAAAACCTCTTCATCAGCCCTAATTACTTAGCATTTCTTCATATCCTTTTTAGCGGAAAAAATTATGAGAGACTTAGCTTATCATAAACGGCCCTCAGGTAAAACATGTTTCAAGAGAACAAGTGGAGTTACTTCAAGAAAGCTGTGGATGATGTAAGTAACCTTATCTTCATTAATTGATTCCTCGATTTTTGTTTTATTCGTATTCATCTACCGGCGTCTATGAGATTTGAACTGACGACCTACTTCAAGAAAGTGAAAACTCGTGAGAGTAGTGTCTTTCAAACGATCAGTACCTATCATCGAAGTAACAATTTTTCATACAAATTAATTTCTACTATTGCTTAACTTGAATGCAGTATGCAGAGATGAATACAAGACCATTACAACCTCTCAATTGCCGAGAAATCAAGCACTATGTCCTGTCGTTAAGTGATGCACCAAGCCCCCATGAAGGCAACC